TGGGAGCGTACCGGTCTATGGGAGGGAATCTGTGGCAGAAGGCGGTCTCGGAGGTAGCCAGGTCCGATGCCATGGAGCGCTTTAAAGGTGGTAACTAACACCTTAAAGCGCACCCGGAAGACCACTGGTAACCAGTGCAGCTCGCGCAGCAGCGGTGTTACATGGGAGCGACGAGTCCCTCCCAACACCGCCCGCGCGGACGCATTCTGGACCATTTGGAGCCTCCGGGTGCTCCTCAAAGGGAGCCCCATGTAGAGAGCATTACAGTAGTCCAGGCGGGAGGTGACGAGAGCATGAGTGACTGTGCGCAAGGCGTCCCGGTCCAGAAAAGGTCCCGGTCCAGAAAAGAAGAAGAAGGAAGAAGGAGAAGGTGGTTAACCAGATGGTCTACTATTTCTTCAGCTTCCGCCTATGCAAAGAAGATCTCCCAGATTGACAACAAGCAACAGCACGACAAAGTAGCAACAACAGTGCACAGGAAGATCTGAAAGACATACCATTTGCCTGCAAGCAAGAACTGGTAGGACCGTAAAACAGAGAAAGCCACAAAAAAAATGAAGAAACTAAATTGCTCTGGGACTGTAGAATTCAGACACACAGGCACCTGCCCCACAACAATCCAGACTTAACAACTGTGGGTAAGAAAGACACAAAAAAAAGTCTGGATAGTGGACACGTAGCAGGAACTTTGGGACAGCAGAAGAGAAGAGAAAGAACTGGAGAAGATAACAAAACACAAAGACCCGCAAACAGAACAACTGTGGCCAAAGGAAGCCTAGGTAGTCTCAACAGTCACAGACGCCTTGGGTGCCATCCCGAAACATCTGGAGAACCGCTGGAACGTTATCGGCATTGACAAACTCGCCATCAGTCAATTGCAAAAGGCAGCTTTACTCGGAGCAGCTGACATCCTGCGGCGATGCCTGCAAAACCATCAAACACCCACATCTGCCTATCCCAGATGAGACGGACGAAAACGCCAGATCCAGTCTGAACATCTGGCTGATGGTGCCACAAACAACAACTGGACTTTCCTGTTTTTCTTTGAAGACGTTTCGCTTCTCCTCCAAGAAGCTTCATCAGCTCTGACTGGGTGGTGGAGGAATGGAAGGATTTATACTCCTTGCAGACAGCTGGCCATTTGCCTCCTTTGAGAGGGTCGTTGAGGCCACTTGGAGGTTTATCTGTGTCGTCGGGGTCACCTGAGTGGGGCAAATGGGCAGGGAGCCTCCTTTCAACAGTTCCAAGAAGGCTCCACACCCATTTGCACCGCTCAGATGACCCTGAGGACACAGAGAAACCTCCAAGTGGCCTCAACGACTCTCTAAAAGAAGGCAAATGACCAGCTGTCTATAAGGAGTATAAATCCTTCCATTCCCCACCATCCAGTCAGAACCGAAGAAGATTTTGGGATGAGAAGCAAAATGTCTTCAAAGGAAAACAAGGAAGTCCTGAAAAAGCATCTTTGGGACAAACCTCCAAGTGGCCTCAACGACTCTCTAAAAGAAGGCAAATGACCAGCTGTCTATAAGGAGTATAAATCCTTCCATTCTCCACCAGTCAGAACCGAAGAAGCTTCCAGGATGAGAAACAAAATGTCTTCAAAAAAGCAAGGAAGTCGTGGAAAAAGCACCTTTGGGACAAACCTCCAAGTGGCCTCAACGACTCTCTAAAAATGCAAATGACCAGCTGTCTATAAGGAGTATAAATCCTTCCGTTCCCCACCATCCAGTCAGAACCGAAGAAGCTTTTTGGATGAGAAGCAAAATATCTTCAAAGGAAAACAAGGAAGTCCTGAAAAAGCATCTTTGGGACAAACCTCCAAGTGGCCTCAACGACTCTCTAAAAAAATGCAAATGACCAGCTGTCTGCAAGGAGTATAAATCCTTCAGTTCCCCACTATTCAGGCGGAGCTGAAGAAGCTTCTGGGATGAGAAGCGAAACGTCTTCAAAGAAAAACAGGAAAGTCCAGTGGCCTCCTGAAAAAAAGCACCTTTGGGACAACTAGAACCTGGCTGACGGAGAATAACCTCCACGGGCAAACCACAACAGTCCTACTCACTGAGTCGAAGAGATCCAGCCAGACCCCGGATGACGGTGATGGGGTTCTTGGGATCCGTGCAGAATTGCAGCAACACAGGGGAGAACGCGTCCCGTTTGCTCTCCAACTGAAGAGAAAGGAGGAGATCGTCAGAGGACCCCCCCAGGCCGGTCTGATTCCCCCCCCATCCCATCCTCTTGCACAAAACACCCACCAATCTAAAAAAAAAAGTCAATTCCCAGAATTCCCCAGCCCGCAAAGCATTCCGGGAGTCGAAGTCCACCCTTCTTAAAGGGGCCAAAAATTGAGGGACGCTGACCTAACCTCATTCCTTGGATCGGCCTGGGCCCTGGGGCAAAATCGCCCAGCATCCTACGTCCCCCCCAATATCCAGAACCCACAATTCTTTCATTTTGGGAGGGGGGGAGCCGTTCTGTATGCCCCCCTCCCAAGAACGAAGGACTGTGAAACGGAGACCCATAATCCCCAGCCAGAACCCAGGCCACGAAGTAGCCGGCAATGGTCACCGTCATCTTCCCGATCCGGTTTTCGCCCCCTCCCTCCCTATTGGACGGCCTTCCTTCCACTCTGCCCTTCGGGGCTCTGCAATGTTGGTGAAGTTGACCGCTTCAGCCATGAGGGCTAGAAACCTGGCAGCGGTTTTGATCCGTCCCTAAAAAAAGCTAAGGCCGGTAGGCCTGGCTTGCGTACTAGAGCGAGCGTGATGTGCAAACACCCCAGAGCCCTGATTTTTTTTTTACACACAAACCCCCTCAAAATCCGACGTGGGCAGCCCCCTCCCCACTCACGGCCCTCTCCGTGGGTACCCCAAAAACCGGACACTCACGTAGATGCTCGGCGTTGGGGGGCTGAGCTTATCCCGCGGCAGTTTTTCGTCCACGTTGATCTGCGGCTTGACCGAGTGGCTTTGGGACAGGTAGGACTCCTTAAATTTCCCTTTCACCTTGGCGTGCCTGGCGAGAAGGGGGGGAAAGCGGGGGAGACGTCAGCCCGGGAAAAGCGGCGTGAAATTGAAGTCCCACATCTTCAGCTGCACAGAGTCGCGCCGAAACAAGACGGACAGCAAATCAATTTAATAATAAAGAAATAAAGAGTCCCTGCGGATTTTACTCGGCTACTCCTTGCCAACGCTGGAGGATCGTGCTCGTTTTCCAAAGACATTTCTGCGGTCACGTGGCCGAAACGACATCCTGAGTGCTGTCACCTTCCTGTCGAAGTGGTACCTATTTATCTACACGCCTTTGTATGCTTTCAAGCTTCTGGGTGGGCAGAAGCTGAGGCGAGGACGGGAGCTCACCCCATCGTAAGAAGCTCGGGACTCAAACCTGGTTTGCTGGCTTTCCAGCTAACAAGCTCAGCGACTTAACCGCGGAGTCACCGCGTCACCCCAATAATAAATAAACGATTCTCGTAACAGCTGTGGCAAAAAGGTTGTCAAATCGGGCAGGGCCCACTTAACAACGGCCTTGCTTAGCAACAGGAATTTTGCTACCTGTGGTCGATAAATCGAGAACTACTTGCAGTGAACCCGCATTTTCTATTCAGCGGCTGGAAGATCCTAATAGGAAACGGCCTCAGGGGAGGCAACAGGGCAACAGCCTCAGGAGGGGCAACAGGGGAACGGCCTCAGGAGGGGCAACAGGGAAACGGCTTCAGGAGGGGCAACAGGGAAACGGCTTCAGGAGGGGCAAGGGGATAATGGCCTCAGGAGGGGCAACGGGGGAAATGGCCTCAGGAGGGGCAACGGGGGAACGGCCTCAGGAGGGGCAACAGGGAAACGGCTTCAGGAGGGGCAACAGGGAAACGGC